GAGAGACGATGACATCTGTCTATTATTATAATAATACCTAACGATAAAATAAATGATTTAGAAAAGTTTTTCTTGTTTAACTGCTTTCCCTATGACTTTTTCTGATTAAAAAAAGCCAATTTTTATGTTTATAAAATATTTTGAATGAAAAATATTAAAATACGTACAAAATAAACCATTTTGAACACTCTTTTTTATTATTTATCAAAAAAATATAGTTCTGGCATAAACAATGTTAAATTTTAACTGACTTAATTTTGCGAACGCATCTTTTTTATTTACATGGGTATCTTAAGGTCTGTTTTTGCGCTAATGTTGCTAATGCACCTTTTGAGCGAAAAAAAAAAATTGTTAAGGAAAAATTTTCTGTTAGCGAACCCTTTGTTAAATATTTTGAATATCACCACTGAGTACATCGTGGGTCACTAGTTATATGCCTCTCCTATCTCTTACAGTATTGTGGACTAATATTTATTCTTGATACCATTGATACTTGCATTATTTTTATGAGTCAAACTTAGGATTGATATAATTATTTGTTTCCAAGCTTTGCTCACATGGAAAATTTTCTGTGGACACTTGTGCTTTGAATAATCCTTTAAATAAAATTTATAAATTAAAAATTTAATTTCAAATTTACCTGGATTTGTTGTAAATTCCACATCTCTTGCTTTTGAAGACTGAACAAATGATCTTGAGACAATCATTGGAGTAAATGCTAAATCGCAATTATATCTTCGAACCAAAGCACGAAACTGTAACCTAACAATCAAAATTAATTATTTCAAAGAACTGCTACATAGTTCATTTTCTTGTTATTTAATAGTGTATTAAACACATGAAACAATATTAATTATGATTTAATAAATATCCATACTTTGAGGTTTTAAAATTCCATAACTTGTTTTAATAATCAAAATAAAAATTTAAACGTACTTAATTAATAGAATTTAAAAATTAAAAATTATTTTGAAATAAAATTTAATATCCAATGTTAGGTTTTAACAAATATAACTTTCAGATAGAAAATAAAATTAATCAAATTTATATTGATCATTTATTTTCTACTAATATAACAACCATTTTATAAGTTTATATATTGAGCAAATAAGTAAAATTGTTAATAAATGACAACAAATGTATTATGATAAATGTATAAATTAAAAAATTATGAGGCACTTTATAAATTATTATAAAGTGTCTCAAAATGATGCTTGCAAGAAGCAAAATTAAAATTACCATCTTAATTGTCACTGAAGAAAATTAAAACAGCCACTAAAACTCATTGTCTTAATGGATTCAAATACCAACTAGAACTAAATTATATTTTTTCTATCTAGTTTTTCAATTCTTATTTTTTCTTTGTTTTTTTTTATGTATATATTCTATTAGTTCATTTAATTTAACCCTTGTTTTGTTGTTATTCTAGTTAGGCATCTGTTGTGAATGTAATTCAAATATTTAAACAATCTTATTTGAATTATTCTTCTAATTTGGACTACTATATTTTTAGTTGTTTTATTTTATTTTCTGTCAGAGTTTCCTGCAAAAGGCCTTTTAAAAGCTGAAAACGTTTGTTTTTGTTATATATTAATATGCCAGAAACTTAAAGATGTCAGTATATTTGTTTAACTACTGTTTCAGTTTGTTTATTTCTTAGTATTTCTAGTTAAATTAGGCATTGAATAATACAATGGGTAAAAAGTCACTGAAGATTTATTTATAACTTTATTTTTAATTTTCTTATCTTTATAGATAAAATAAAAAATAAATAACTTCAGCAATTTTTAGTGTATCTTGCATATATAATTTTATTAAATTTTCTTTGAACATTTCATGTAACAAAACATTAATTTAATAACTCACTTTGAATATCTAACCATTGGAGCAGCTGCAAATACCAATTCCTTTTGAGAAAATAGATCCATTGGTTTTATATATTCTTTCATTACATATTCAGTTGGAACCATTCTAGTGCTGCAATATAAAATATAAAAATTTAATAAGATCATGAAATTTTCTCCATAATATATTTCACTGCAATTTATCACTGACATAATTTATTGGAAAGTGATACAATTTTAATAAAATATTATAAATTAAAATTAATAAAATCATCATGAAATAGTTATAATGAGTTAACAATGAGGAATCCCTTTTGCATCTTTAAAATTAATGCATTTTTTTTTTAAAGTAATTATTTAATTTTATATGGTACACAGACACAGGAAACAAACTACCGATAACAAATGACAAATAAAATATCCTAAAATTATAAGTAAATTTATTATTTTTTACGATTTTTCCTAAATTTAGAATATTTTTTTATAGATGCAATTTTGCTGATATTAGCCTAAAATGAGTTGAAGGTTTTAATCTCTTTATTATTGGGTTGTTCAGAATGTAATTTTGTTTTTTTTTACCACTAGACGGATTAGTCGTATTTTTCCCGCCATTTTCATTCTAAACCGTATTATCATTATATATTTTGACAGCTAGCATTTTAAAGCTTACTTGTAAAAAATTTTGTTTGATTTTGTGCAATTGTTTATTTTTTCTGTCTCATCAAATATGGAAGNATGGTAAAGATACTGAATCTATACAGTCCTTAAACAAGTGATCACCTTGGCAATGACTGCAGACACGTTTTGGGGACGGGCATTCCTTTGCAAAATGTCCGAAAGCTAGACACTTGAAGCACTGTCTAACTGAAATGTATTCGAACACCGGACAACTACTCCACTTGATGTACATCTTTCCCTCCCTAAGTAATCATTCTCTGATACTTGGAGTGACCTCAATGATCCATGAAAGATATTCACTGTTTTTTTGTTTTAATGCATATTTAACTCTAACATGATCTGGAAATTCATCTTTTTCAACACGAAGCGCCAAATAATTTTGTTCACAAATGTGTTTTTCAAGATCATCTTTAGTGATAGACTTAGGAACCAAAATGATCTTAATAAGAGGTCGTTGTAGGTTTCCTCTACGAGCCTTGAGTCCTGGGACTTTCTCCAATAAACATTCCAAAACTTCAGCATCTGAATCATCGCAAACATCAATTGCGACTCCCCCCTGGTTAATTTTTCTTATTTTTTATCCCTACACCAGCTGCTGTTGGATCCACACTTTTGGTCAAAGTTGCTCTTGTTTGTTCAAAGGTAAAGTTCTCGTTTTCACTATAAACCAGTATTGTACAGGTAGGTGAAGGTGGTGATGGTTTTGGCTTTGGTTGCATTGTTGTCAAGCCTCTGGTTAGTATTGCACTATATGACGGAACAGATGGAACAGGAGTTTCGTTTTTACTCTGTATAATATGGTTTTTAATCAATTCACTGATTTCTTGCTTGGTATTATGGACAGCCTCTTGAATGTCTTTATTACAAATCTCCAGGGCTTCTTTGATATCTTCTGTAGTCGCTAAATTCCTTATTTTATTCTTTGGAATCTCTGTTATGCAAGCTTTCTTGACGGCAGCCTCAGTTAATTCAATCATCCTGTTAAGTTGTTTCACTATAAACTTCTTATGTTGTGCAGTCCCCAGTTGGTCATCCTTATTAGCAGTGATATATTTTTGTGTCTCCTGAATAATGCGTTCAGCATCCTGGCAAAAGTCTTCCATTATTTCTGTCTAATTTAGAAGTTTTATCTTCGGAAAACAAAGAAAATTATCAATAAGAAAGCGATGACGTCAGATCAGCAACGATTCAAGTCCGTTGATGACCGTTATTACCGTTGTCAGACCGTTAGCAGTAGAAGTGGAAAAAGTCTTCAAAAGTTTAAATCGTCGCCATTCAAATTCTATTTGAATTAAGTATTCCAAAATTATTCAGTAAGGAGCACTTATGGTCCACTACCGGACACAGTTAAGATTTTTCACGGATGTCAACACGTAGGCCCGATGCGGGCCGCCGAATGTCAAACGAAAAAGTCCAAAAACTGAAAAACGGGTGGACCAAAATGCACAAAAATTGGAGATCTAACTCACCGTTCGATGTATTGTCCTCCACCGATCACAATTCCGGAAAAACGGTCGTAGAGATTACGAAAAATCGGTCCGAAAAAAACGTGAACTTTATGTCTTCATATTTCCAAAAAGATTGGGTCCATATTATCAAATTTGGTATCAGAAGAGTCACAATCACAAGTTCTATCCAGATGACCACAAAAAACTGGACTAGAAACAGATTAACCTATCGAAATCACGAGAAATCGAGTAGCTCGATTTTGAACACACACACACAAAATCCCCTAGCGTAAAGTACCGGTCCCCCAGAGCAGTAGGATGTCACTTAAACGCTCGTCCGTCCGACCATCGATTTGCCTCATTAGAAGAAAATGTGGGTGCATGGTGAACTGCTCACTGCCGATTACATATACTATCATGCACAACATGCATGGTATTTAGCTAATACATAGCAGAAAAAGGATATAGTCTTTATCTACATTCTTTATATACATAACGTTTTTCATCATTAATTTCAGTCAGCAAACAATGTAAGCAAACTGTAATTAGTATATTAATTAATAGCCAACTTCGTAAAATAATAATAGTCTTTCTATTTAAAATTAATAAAATATTTAAAAGTAAAAATATTTATAGCTATATATCCATTTAGATTTCGAAAGATATGTAATAGATGTCCTTTACGCTATTGAAAATAAAACTGGGACGAATGTGAGTTGGTTTAATTTCTATAATCCTGAATTACATAAAAATGATCCAGAATTCAGTCTAGCAGATCTAGAACCTGATGGGTAAGATTTTTTTTTATCATTTATATATAGTTTCTTTTAATTTTTTAATATAAAATACATTTATTAGTACATGTAAGGTTTCGATATTTTTAAAATTATAAATAAGAGATAATTGACTTTTAATTAAAGTTAATTATATAACAAATGAAATTTCAATAAATAAATAAATATGT